CATACTTGCAAGCTAAACATCACCAACTTTGAAAGCGACCATCTTTATCAAATGTAGAAAGACCTTTTTCAATTGATCGAACTCCATTTATATAACAAATAATAGTTTTTTTCTAATTTAGTAAGTTGCCATTGGGATCGACGTCCATCATATTCATCACAAATTTTAACTGAATAGAAAAATATTACAAAAAGAAAAAAGTAAAGAACTAAATGTTGTACTTAAGAAGTCCCAAACATATCGTTTTCGTCCACCGCCAAAAAATGGAACATTACCAGTTGATTTTTTTAAACCACAGGAAAGAGTTTTTTCTAATGCATTAACAAGACCATCTTCACCACATAAAATTGGTGTTATTAATCCTCTCTAAATAATTTTTAGTAAAATTTTTTTGAAAATAAAAAGCTTTATTTAAATTACTTTTTTTTTTCAGGTTCATCAAAATATTTAACTAATTGATTAATTGATCGACCTAACAATTCATAAATATCATCAGCTTGTTGTTTTGATTGATTTTCAAAATCATAAACAGAATCAAATTATACATGATCGATCAGAAGAGGAAAAAAAATTATTGTTAGATCAATAGCAGCGGTAGTGCTGAGATGTCAAAGAAAAAAAAGTACAAAAAAAAAAAGAAAAAATCATTATTTCATGCAAATCTTACGACAATAAAATTTTTCCGTGAGCCAACTGAAGACAAAATCTGTAGGGGACGTTCATATGACATTAATAATGTCATGAATTAAAATAGAATTACTGAGAAAATATCTTACTTTGATCATTGACACGTCGTAAACTAGGTGATCGTGATCGTACAGAAGCTGATAAATTTACTTGAGATCCACCACTTATGAAACTTGTTGTCATTAATTGAAATGGTGAACCAGAATCGAATAAACCATTAGTATTATTATCATTCATTTCACATGAATATGTCGAATCAATAAAAAGAAGTCGCTCTAAACTATCATCATCAATACCTTTACCTAACCATCGTCCACATGGAAATCTATTTTTTGAAATGAAAATTAAAAAAACAATAGTTAGAAAAGATTAAAAGTAACAAACCGATAAATATTGTTTGTTAATTGATTTCGAACAAGAACATGATCAATACTCCATCGAGGCATTAAACCAGTATTATCATGACCTATTCGAAGTGTTGTTAATTGACCCAAATTTTTGTGCTAAACAAAACAAAAAAATAAAAATCATCATGAACTTTTGTTTTTTATTCTATTTCATATAAAATCCAGATTTTACTTTGAATTTAATTTCAAGTGTTTTTTTGATGGTAATGGTATAACTTTTGTTGATCCCAAAATACCAGCTAACGCAATATATGGATTAGCAGTTGTTGTACTAGAAATTCTTGTTGCTCG